GTGTGTTTGGGTGTGTATGTATGTATGTGAGGCTTGCTTAGATGTGTGTGGACACGATAATTAAGTTTCAAATGACTTATCTTTCAATCAGAGTTCTGTGGCTATGATGCTTAACAGCATTATATACAACCCTGATGAGTGATGTTCTCCCTAGTTCTCTGGTGCGTATTTTTTTGACAGAATTTCTGCACGCCTTGAAATATGTTAAATTTAAGTAACTTTAGAAGTGTCAATGATTTTCGCATTTTATAAGTTTTAATGATTATTGCTATATATATATATATATATATATATATATATATATATATATTTATTTAAAAATATGATTCCATCACTACATAAGAGTTCTCATGTTTTGAAGTATGAGAACTCTTATGTAGAGTGTTGGAATCATATTTTTAAATAAATAATTATATTTATGCTCTACTTTTGTATCGAGTACTGTTTTTTTTTAAATAATAACAAAAATACTAAAGAAATCCAACAACAATAAATCCCAAAACTGTGAACTTCATCTCGAGGCGACAATAGCTATAAACAACTTCCCAAGACCAACACAGATTGCTAAATAAACGATAAGAACTTATCTCGAAATGCAGACCCGAAAATAAATGTTTACTACGTCAATTAAAGTAGAAAACTAACACCGAATACTTTATTTACATTATTTGCATTATTCGGATTGTTATCCACATCTTCGTTGCCATATTCACAAAATCTCGGCTGTTGTACGCTCCGGCCTTCTTCAGATGATTGGAATTATCGAACCGAAATTTTGGGGTAGATATGTTCTAGTTCCCCGTGCCATGCCTCTTCCGGGTCATACAACGTCCGAAACCTTGTGACTATGGCAACGAAGATGAGGATAATACTTCGAATAATGTGAATAACCGTAATACCTCATCTCAGAGATATAGACAGATAACGAATACATATGCAAATATATGCACTATATACATATGCAAATATATGCACTATATACATATGCAAATATATGCACTATATACAACGCAGATTATGTGATATACTTTAGACAAAGTCAATACTTTAGATTAATCAAATAAGAATACCATCACTCGAAAACATAATAAAAATAATAACAAATAAATAAAAAATTAAATTAAATTAATTGATTAACAAATGAAGCAAACAACGAATTAACAAACTATGAATCAAATATGGACACAAGTAAATGTAATAATAATGATCAACGACAAATAATTACTAACACCAGTTACATTATTCAGACAGTTCTCCTCTTTTTTGTTATCTTATTCACGACGTTTCGGCCTTTGTATGATCTAGCCTTCTTCCGATGGTTAAATTATTCCAGTGACTTGACCCAAAGTGTTGTGAGTTCCATATTTAACCACAGCAGAGGTGAACAAAAACTTAGCGAGTTGAGTTACTAAAAAGAAATAGCTGAAACTGAGTCATACAGAAAAGGTGTGGCATCTGGAACTAGAAAAAATTACCCTCCTGGATTAAACAATGCTTATAAATTCCAACGAATATAACCTAAAGATGGGCGGAGAGTACAACGACCGAAACGCTCTAAATGTGACAAAAAGATGATGACTACAGTCCGAATAATGTAAATAGTGTGAATAGTAACAATACATCATCTCAGAAATATAGACAAAGAAATAATTCATAAAAAAAATACAAAATGCACTAAGTACTCCATTATGTGTGGAATAATGGATAGCGGCTCAGATTGAGGAACCGGAGAGCCGAGTTCGAAATTCAGTCAGATCCATTAGATTTACTTACATTACTAATACCCTTAGGAAAGGTTTTAATCCTTTTCTTCTCCCCCAGCTATGGGTAAATAGCTGGGCAGACCTTGGGTGGCAATTGGTCTACAGCAGAAAGAAATATCAAGCTACTGCGTGAAAAAAATCTGCCTCGTCAGTCATGTATCGAAAGGTACTTGACCGCCTGATCGTGTATCACGCATGGGACATAACTGACTGAATCAATAATAAATAATGAGATGAAGTAAATAAAAAAACGTTATGCAAAATATGCAAATGACTGCATTCGGATCCACAATTATTTCCACCCGATAGCCTTTAGAATGATTTGAAATATAACTGTTATCTTCTACCAATAAGCGTTAGGAGAATAGAATGAAGCGGAAATATCTGGCCTTGGTACTTTTAATGTTCCATTAACATGCATTTTTGAATAGTCGAGCCAACACACAACACACATGACCTGAAGATTGCACTGAAACATAAAACAGATTGTGTCCACTCGGTGATGACCCCAGTGCCGATATATATATATATATATATATATATATATATATATATATATATCAAGTGAACATTGAGATCAAAACCGAGGGCGACTGTCTGTTTTATGCTTGAACGCAATCTTCAGGCCATGTGTACTGTGTGTTGGTTCAACAATTTATATATGTTGGTCATTCCCTGAAGATTGGGTTCGAACATAAAACAGACAGTCGCCGCTCGGTGTTGACCACAATGTTCACTTGATATATATATATATATATATATATATATATATATATATATATAACGACATTGTCTTTTTGAGCGCAGTGTCCACTTTTATACTTACGTAGTCTCTATACCTGATTTTGACCACATTTACCCATAAATGCAACTTTATTTTTATCATATATATATATATATATATATATATATATATATATGTGTGTGTGTGTGTGTGTGTGTGTGTGTGAGAGAGAGAGAGAGAGAGAGAGAGTAAAGAGCTGTTTCTTTTATGAAAGAATGAAATTATGAAACTAATGTCCTCTTGCCTAGACATAAAGACGGCCTACTAAAGACATACCCCTCCCGACTTCACGAGGATTCCTTGATCTAAGGGTCGGTAGTAATGTCACTGTAAAAAGATCTGTCTACCCAAACACGAATGACCCACAGTATATAATATTTATAGCATTAAAAAATAATATCCTGATGAAATAGCCATTAATTCTTTAAGAATAAATATACAGTGATATCAGTCCTATAATTAGACCTTCTCTTGTGAAGCGTAATTATTTTAATCGAACCTCAGTTCGATCAAAACGTTTTATTCCAATTTAACTTTTTTTTTCGTATCTATCAATTACTATTATGTTTCAACTGTGCAGTCGGACTTCGAGAATTCGATTTTTGTTCCTCGTGTATTCTCTTTATAAATACTTTTTTTATTATTATACTACAACAGAACTTCTCAAACAATACGATATAATGGCGTACCAGCAATTTTTT